TTCCACTGTGTCAGCAGCAGCTTCGCCTGAGGGGGTGTTCCCATTATGACTCCCCAGAAGCTTGTAAACCTGTCATGAAGGGGAGCCTCCCTGGGAGCAGATAGCGAGACCGGGGCTCCACCCAGGACCACTGGTCACTGGGGGAGCAGTTGTCCAGCTCACAGGCCTCCTGGCATCTTCACACCTTTTGCTGTGGCTGCTCCCCTGACTGGACCTGGCCAACACTTCCTCCACACAGCCTTTCACCACTATGCCTGCCATCTTGGACTCATGGGGAAAATGATCTCTAGTGTCAGCCACTGAGTAGGGTAAAGGACCCCAAACATGACATTGGGAGTTCGGGGTTCAAGTCCCAGCTCTGCCACTTTATTGCTGTGTGACCTCAAGCAAGTTGATTAACCAGTCTGATTGGCAGCTCATCCATGGAATGGGGGTTTTAAGGGGTCATACTGTATGTCAAAGTGCACTGGGGAGAAGCCCTGCCCTCAGCTGGCCCTCTGGCCCTTGGCGTCAAAGCTGTGAAAGTGAAAGTGTGAGTTGCTCAGCCGTGTCTGACTCTTTGGGACCCCTTGGACTGTAGCCCGCCAGGCTCCTGTGTCCATGGTATCTCCAGGCAAGAATACTGGAATGGCCATTTCCTTCTCCAGGGGAATCCCTTTGTTCCTGCTTGTTGTATCATAGTGCTGTTCCTTTTTATTGCAGAGTTGTATTGATTGTGTGGGTGTACCATGTTTGATTTATCCATTCACCAGTTGGAGGGCATTTAAGCTATTACCAGTATGGGGTTATTATGAATAAAGCTGTGGTACATTTGTGTACAGGTCATTGTGCAGATGTTTCATTTCTCTTGGGTAAGTGCCTCAGAGTGTGATGGCTGGGTTCTATGATTGGCGTTTAACTTATAAGGAACTGCCAAGCCATCTTCCACATTGGCTGCTCCATTTTGCATCCTAGCAGTGATGGATGAGGGCCATGTATGGAAACAGTTTGCATCTCTGTGTTCTGGTGGCATACACATGTGTACTGTGGAAGAGGCAAGATAATAGAAAGCCAGGTATCCCCCTGTGTGCCGCATGAGATCACTTGAAGGTTTGACCCAGGTGAATATTTTTTCAGGTTTCATCAGTTGTGACCATATTTTAAAATGCATTTTTCAAAAATTTATCCAAACCCTTGCTTTCTTGGCTGTAAATGCCGAGTAGTAAGACCTGGGCCCTGCAGTCAGATTGCCTGAGTTTGGCTCCAAGAGCCCCATCCTCCTGGCTCTATGACCTTGGGCAAACCGCTTAATCCCTCAGAGGCTGATTCCTCATCAGGAAAATGGGCTTGTACTGTCTCTCCTACCTCATCAGTTTGCTGTGAGGGTGAAACCAGTTAAGTATGTGTGAAACTCTCAGTTCAGAGCCTGACACGTGTTAGCACTTGATGAATGACTGCTGTTATTATTAGATGGATGGCCCATGTGTAGTAGACGTGTGTACTGTCTCGTACATCCATGTGTACATGAGTATGTCTGTATACTACACTACATGTGTAAATGTGTGTGTAAGGACAGAGAAAAGTCTCTCTCCTTCCTGTGTCTCCTAGGTCCGGGTTACCCTCATGTGCTCACAGATGTGTGTGTGCTTTTTTGAGGTCATACGTCTGGATGCACACTGTGCCCCCAGGGACCAGGGATCCCCCAACCCCGTTCTCCATCTGCTCAGCTGTCAGCCAGGGAGGCTGGCCCTGGGCTGCCCTGGCCCACTCACTGCCCTCCCTGTGGATGGGAGGCCCTGGGAATGGCCTTTTCAAGGGCCTGGGTGTCCGGTCCCTGGGTGTCCTCATTGTCTTTTCTCTGAACCAGTGTTTCCTGGATCTTTACTCAGGGCCCCAGGATCCCAACTGGGATATGTGGGGAGTGTCTTGAAGGAAGTTGAGACGCTGCCGTTCGTCCATGATTCTGAACGGAGACTGTAGCAGGGACCTCATAGAAGAGTTTCTCAGCAGCTGCTGGGCCCAGCATCTTTAAAAACTGCTCTATTGAAACATAATTGATACACACTAGACCGCAGGGGATTAAAGTATATGACTGGGTAGGTTTTGACACATGCACACACCCCTGGAACCATCACCACAAGAGAGTGAACACACCTGTCACTGTCACCCCAAGTATTCCTTTGCATCCTTTGGTGTTTCCCCCTCCTCCCACCATCCGCATGCACCCACCAATCTGCTTGTTATCACTCTAGCTTAGTTTGTGTTTTGAAGACTTAGTACCAGTGGGGGAGGAAGGGTTTTGAAAGGAGCGGAGGCCCTGCCATTGCTCCATGGACTATATCCAAATTAAAAAAAAACAAAAAACAAACTGGCTTCACTCAGTGTGATGATTTTGTAATTCATCCATGTTGAGGCTCCTATCAGTAGTTTATTCTTTTTTCACTGCTGAGTAGTATTCTGTTTATAGGTGTACTACATTTGTTACCATTCACCCAGCAGGTATTTCTTTTTCTATGTTTTCATTTCTGCCTATGTATACAGCCCTGAACAGTGTGTGACATCACTTTTCACCAGCAGTTTTTTTGAAAGCCGGGGTCAAGCTGTGTCTGAGGCTGGACTGAGCCCATGGGGCACCTCTTCTAGGTGGGACACCTATATCCAGTTCCTCCCTCTTCTCTCACCTCAACTGTCCCTTTCCGTGGAATGACCTACCCTGCTCTGTGCTCTTCAAGGGTCATTCAGCTTTTCTGGGGGCCTTTTCAGACCGGCAGGGTCTCCTCTGAGCAATTCCAGCTTTCACCACTTGGTGGCTTTCTAAGCCCTTGAGCACCATTCTGGATTCTTTAGAGCAAGGTGAGCCCGCCTTGTACGGTGCCCACCTCCTGGGCCTGGCATGCAGGAAGCTACACCAGAGAAGCCAGGAGGCTGATGCTCAGGGTATCTGGCTGGCTCTGGACGGTGGATCCTGGTGTTTGGGGCCCTCTGGGAAGAAGGAAGCAAAGATGCAAAGTGATGCAAACCAGTGCAAACACTGTACCAAAGTCTGGCCCTTTCCGCCTCCTGGGATTCTTCCCTCCTTCTCTCCTCCCTCATTCCATCCCCTTCCTGGAAACCCTTCCTCTCCCTTTAGGGCCTCTCGGATAAGCAAACTTTCTGTATTATTAAATTCCTGCCTTGGAGGGACCAATTTTGAAACATCCTGGAAGGCCTCGGTCACATTATGTCACCCCCATCTTCCCCATCCGCTGTGCCTCTTCTCAAGATGACAGGGTGGGCAGGAGCTGTCCTTCCTGATGGATGAGATACAGATCTTGGGGAAGAAATGACCCTCCCGCCTGAGCCCCCACCTGCCAGGGCTTGTGCAGTAGTGCTGCCAGGGCGGCTGACACATGTCTCAGAGTCACAGAGTGGAGGCCACTTATTGTGCCAGAGGAGCTTCCCCAATGGTTCAGCAGGTAAAGAAGCCAGCTGCGATGCCGGAGACACAGGAGACATGGGTTCAGTCCCTGGATCGGGAAGATCCCCTGGAGGAGGAAATGGCAACCCGCTCCAGTACTCTTGCCTGGAGAATCCCATGGACAGAGGAGCCTGATGGGCTACAGTCCATGGGGTCGCAAAGAGTCGGACACGACCTAACACATGGCATTGTGCCAGAGAGGGAAAGTGACTTCTCCAGGCTCACATGGCCAGTTAGTGATGGACACGAGCTACCTGGCACCACATCCCGTGTTCTTTCCTCTCTTTGCCCTGTCTCCTGGGTGCCAACTTTACATGTTTGTATGGCACCTTCTGAACCCAGATCTGTTAATGGAAGGAAGTACAGACCAGGGGTGCTTGAGGCAGCTCCGAGTTCCTTGGAAGCCTGGGTGAAGAGGCCTACCTCTGTCCACAGTGTTGTGATTGTGGGCGGTGTAAAGCAGGAAGGCAGCCTGGGTGCAGGGAGGTGGCTCTGAAGGAGGGAAGAGATTGGCATGGTTCTGCAGAGGCTGCCCCACCCACCCATCTTCCTGGTCTCCAGTGGCAGCCCCTTGGTCACGTTTTGACTGCAGCCCCGCCTTGTTGGTTCAGCTCCAGTGCCTTCTCCTCCTCCTCCCCTCCTCCAAGAAGCCTTCCTGGGAAGTGACTTATCTGTACATCCTTTTGGTGCTTCTCATTGTCTGCCATCTGTGTTTCAATTTCTGTCCATGTCTTATCTCCCTCCTTGGACTGTTGGCATCTTGAGGACAGAGTTCATGTATGTTTCATGCCTTATCTTCAGTGCCTAGGACAGGGCTTGGCATTCAGCAGATACATAATGAATATTTGTGGAATAAAATAAATGGCATTGATAGTGAATGACAGTGAATGGTGGTAGATGTTGGTTGCAAATGATTGCTTACCACATGGTGGAGGTTGGAAAATAAGTGGTCGTAAATACTAATGAGGAGCAGTAGATGTTAACTTGTTGTGGGTGACACATGAGGGTAGATGATGGTGCTGGGAGGTGATAGGTGAAGGGTGGGAGCGGTTGGTGGTGGTGGGAGGTAATGGGTGAAAGGTAGGAGTAGATGGTGGTGGGAGGTGATGGGTGAAGGGTGGAGGTAGCTGGTGGTGGTGGGAGGTGATGGGTAAAGGGTGGGAGTAGATGGTGGGAGGTGATGGGTAGAAGTTGGGGGTAGATGGTGGTGGTGAGAGGTGATGGGTGTAGGGTGGGAGTATATGATGGTGGGAGATGATGGTGGGAGGTGGGTGGAGGGTTGGAGTAGATGGTGGTGGTGAGAGGTGATGGATGAAGGGTGGGCATAGATGGTGGTGGATAAAAAGTGGTGGTAGGTGATGGAGTGGGAAATGCAGTGGATGGTATCAGGAGAAGGATAGTGGCAAGAGGTGGCAGTGGTGGTGAGGGGCAGTGGTGAGTGGTGGTGGAAGTCCTGGGCAGTGGTGATTTCTCTTATACCCCAGCCCTCTGCCCTTCCCTAAGGGACCTTGGTCCAGCTCTCGGACTGTCAGATTCTCTAATGCTATGGCTCATTCCTTTGCAGACTCCACTGGGGGCCCCTTCCCTGTCACCTCTCACCGATGCCACCACAAGCAGAAGCACTGCCCGCCGGTGCTGCCCGGCGGGGGGCTCCCGGCCACGCCGCTGCTCTTCCACCCCCACACCAAGGGCTCCCAGATCCTCATGGACCTCAGCCACAAGGCCGTCAAGAGGCAGGCCAGCTTCTGCAACGCCATCACCTTCAGTAACCGCCCGGTCCTCATCTATGAGCAAGTCAGGCTGAAGGTGGGGCCTCTCTCCCTGCCCCTGTGGCTGCATTCCCTGGGGCCTCTGGACTTCCCCGCTTCTGCTTACGGCCATCACCCACCTTGCCCCTTCTCTTTCCTCTCTGCTGCCACTTCAGCTCTTCCTCATTCCTCCTCTTTCTCCTTACTCTTTTCTCAGCCTTCCCTGTGTGATAGAGAAGGAAGTAGAAAGGGGAGTGGCCATGGGGAGGTGATGGGAAAAGGATGAGAGTAGTTGGTGGGGGAAGGTGGGGGTTCCTGGGAGAAGGAGAGGAGACCCAATTGTGGGTGAGCTGGGCAGAGTTACTCCCCATAGGAGTCTGCCTGGGGTGGTCTGCAGAGAAGGGTACAGTCCCTTCCCCTTGGGCTCGCTGATGGCCAGGGCGGGGAGGCTGGGCTGGGGGTCTGTCTGAGGCCATGCCCCTGCCATCCAGATCACGAAGAAGCAGTGCTGCTGGAGCGGGGCACTGCGGCTGGGCTTCACGAGCAAGGACCCGTCCCGCATCCACCCCGACTCGCTGCCCAAGTACGCCTGCCCTGACCTGGTGTCCCAGAGCGGCTTCTGGGCCAAGGCGCTGCCTGAGGAGTTTGCCAACGAGGGCAACATCATAGCCTTCTGGGTGGACAAGAAGGGCCGTGTCTTCTACCGCATCAACGACTCGGCCGCCATGCTCTTCTTCAATGGGGTCCGCACGGCCGACCCGCTCTGGGCCCTGGTGGACGTCTATGGCCTCACTCGAGGTGTCCAGCTGCTGGGTGAGTGCCCTCCCCCTCCGGCCCCTCAGATTCAGGGCACACCTCCAGGGGCTGTGGTCTGATTGGTTCCGTCAGGCATGGGGCCGCCCCCCACACTGGGAGCGAGTGGGAGCCTTGGTGTGAACTGCAGAGCATCCCTGCCTTCTGGCCTGCAGCTCTGGCCATTGGAGCTTGGTGAGGTTTCTGCCCTCTGTGGCCCCCCAGGTTGTGCCTTTGAGCTGTGTATGAGCTTCATAATCATATATGGCAGCCTTGAAGACCACCCCTCCCATCCAGGAAGTAATTAACGTTAATCATCATAACTACTACAGTTTACAGAGTACTTACTGTGGGCCAGGCACTTTGTTAGCACCATTCTGGTAACAACCCTGGGAGGCCGACTCCATCGCTGGGACCATGGAGGTGAGTCTCATCTCAGGGAGGTTGTCTTCATCCCTAGGAAGTGCTGCAGGTGAGCTGTAGAACCAGCACTCTGTCCCGAGTGAGCCCTGGGCCCTGGGCTCTGCAGCCTTCCAGGAGGTCCAACCCCACCTTAGTGCTTTTTGCATGGATGGAGGTGAAAGGGGTAGTGGGGGAGAGCAGAAGGCACTTGAGGGGCCAAGACTCTGCTTGCTGCTCCTGGGCCCCCAGTGTGACTAAGGCTTCAGGGCAGTGAGAGGGCAGGCATCCTGTGGGCAGCCAGGAGGAAGAGCATTGGAAGCTATCCTGGGGTTACTAAAGTACCAGGCTTCCTGGCAAGGGCACATGCAGACCCCTAAATGCCAGGGCTGGAAGGGGCCTCCAAGTCTCAGACTTCCTTGAGTCTCACAGCAAGTTGGTGGCTGAGAACTGAGAATCCAGGTCCTTGGACTTCCATTGGACTTGAGTGTGTGCCAGCAAGCATGTGTGCATGTGCCTGTGTGCACATAGACTGGGTACAGGCCAACCCAGTGGCAAACTGGCTGTGTCTCCAGGAGGAGCGTGGATGAACCTCAGCTTTCCCATCTGTATAATGGGTCAGTAGGAAGATGAAACCCAATTAAAGAGGTTGTGAGTGATATGCCCAGCATAGTCCTGGGCACCAAGTAAATGCTCAGCCAACACTTGCTCTTGTCACCTCACCTCCCTTCCCTCTTCACTGCAGAGAAAACTGCCATGGAGGTGGTGGGAAAATGTTTTTCTTTTCGTCCTTTCTGACTTCAGAGCCTAGAAACTGTGAAGCTCTTCTTTTCTAGTCAGTTTTATTTGAGTAAAAAAGATAGTGGGGGAAAAGAAAAGATGATGAAAGTAAAACCAAATGAGTAAACCCTTCTGTGAGAGGGAGGGATTCATGCCTTACCCACTGGGTTCCTCTCCAGAGTGGAATCTTGGGCCTGGTGTGTGGAGCATGCTGAGGATATTTGCAGAGTGAGGAGGGGAAAGTGGGGGATGGAAGGTGACTTGTTAGATGAAGGAAAGGGTTGAGGGGTGGCTGAGGGAGACCCAGCCCTGCTCACAGACAGCCCAGGCTCACTGGGAGACAAAGCAAACACAACTCCAGACACGATCCAGGCAGAGCCCAAACGAGGACAGTAAATCGCTGGATGCTGTGGTCACAGGATCTCGTCCATCTGCCGAGACAGTTCCTTTCAGTTATCTTATTTACCCTTTCAGCCCCTGGTTCTGGAGGGAGTGGTTATTATTCCCATTTGGCAGGGAGAAAATTGAGGGCTATTGAAGGCCTGGCTTGCCTGTGTAGGGATGTGGCAGAGTGGAGACTTGAACTGGGTATTCTGGTGCCCAAAGCGGTACATTTCGATTTACCCACTGGGGGGTTTCAGCAGGAAGTCAGTGGAGGATGAAATTAGTGAGGACAGATGGAGTCCAGGAAGGCTTCTTGGTGGAGGAGGCTTAGGCTGGGCCTACAACTTTGCAAGGGTGAGGACGAAACAGACATACCAGGTGAGATGAGGCTTCCTAATCTGCAGGGCTGAGGGAGAGGCCTGAAGAGTGATCTTGAAGGGCCGCACCCAGGGCAGAGCCCAGGCACTGACCTGGCCTCTTTGGCTATAAATAGGTTTTCACGCAGTAATTTCAGTTGCATTTGAATTTCCCGTCAGGCTCCTCTCTACACCCTGTAAGGCCAAAGCCCTAGTCGATTCCCGTCACAGCTGTAAATCACCATAATCCCTGGGCATTTTTAAACACTGATTATGGCCCCTAAAATGAATTAGCAGATTAAAATATGTCCTCATTTTGTTCTTCCTAAATTGATTTTTTTGTAAAAAAAAAAAAGAGAGAGAGAGACCAGCCCAGGTTATCTTCGGAGGTGGGCCTGCTGCTGTGTGCCTGCATCCCGCAGCCCTGCCCCCGGGACATGCCCACTGCCCCGTGTGGTCTCAGGGTCTGCTTCCCTCCCTCCCCTCTTCCCTCTGCTCCCATCTGCCCATCTTCCCCTCCCTCCTCTCTGCCACGTCACTGCACCGTGTCTTTCTGGGCCTCTCTCCTCCCTCCGCCAAGGTCCCCCTGGCTCCTCTGCTTCCCCTTGTCTCCCTCCTGCGCTGAGTTTCTCCTCTGAAGAAGTCACTCTCTGTCTTGGTGGCTCTGAGAATGGGCCTGTCTTTCCTGTGTCTCATCTTTGTCCCCTAGATCAGTGTCTCATCTTTAGAGATTACCTGCCAGGCCTGTCCCCCTGCCCCCACCTGTCTGGAACCTGAGGCAAAGCCCTCTGAATCCCACCTGTCCAGCGTCTGCTTCTCAGACTAGAGACATTCTGGGGTCCCTGGCACATAGTAGGCCCACAAGTCAGGCCCTGGGCAGATTGGCCGTCTTCCCCGAAAGGGTGGAGGCAAGGCCTGGTGTCTTTCCCTGGTTGACACCTCCAATTGGGGGCCCCATCCCCACCCCGCCACAGCCCTAAACATCACCTGGGCTCCCCCCTGCCCAGGCCATGACCCCAGCAGACCTGCTTCAGGCCTTCCAGGCTCCCTGTTATGCTGGAGTTCACAACAGATCACCCTCTTCCCTCCGGGTGCCCTGGCCCAAGCCCTGGCTGGTATCTCCAAGAATAACAGCTTTCTACCTCCAGGAAGAAGGACCTGCCAGCAACTAAATAAACACAAGTTTTATGGGGTGATTAATACTTAGAGAGATAAGTTCCTATCCCAGTTTTCAAGGTCTCCCTGCGCCTCTCAGAAATGTTGATTCAGGAAGAGCAGCTGTGGGTCCTGGCCAAAAGCTGGTGAGCCAGGATTCCACTTATAGGGTGCTCCTGCATACCCCTCTGTGCCCACTGCAGCTTAGGTGCTCTGCAGTAGTCAGAACTGGAAGCCCAGCCCCTCACCTGAAAGAGTTTTTACACTGGGGGGCATACCATATGACTGCTCTGAAGTGACCTAAATCCAATACTGCATAAAAGTGTGGCTGAAGAATAAAACTATGGGGGTACAGCTGGGGAGCAATCCAGAAAGACTTCCTGTAGGAGGTGAGTTTTAAGTCAGGAACCAGAGGAGGTGGGAAAAATGGACCTGTTGAGGAGGAACAGTGTAGGCCAGACAGGAGAGGTGGGCATGGGCACAGAAATGGGGAACTGGCAGTCAGCTGGGGAGCAGATCCTTCAGGGAAGGGGGTTAAATGGGGAGGTTGTGGATGACTTGTGGACTTGAGGAGAGTGGGTGTGCACAGGTATGGGTATGTGCGTGTATCACAGGGGAGACTCAGCAAGAGAGTTGAGTTTCCAGCGGTTCTTACTGTCAAGTTTTTCAGTAAGAGGAAATGTGGCCCAGAGATGGGAAGGGGCCTACCCCAATTCTCCTGACTAGACAGAAGCCAGGCTGGGCCCAGAATTCAGACTTTGCAGCTGATCTAGGCCCCAGGTCAGTGTGAAAAGACTTATTGCCCACTCACGATGTGTGTGGCTGAGCCCAGGAGGCTGTTAAGAGGCCATGGGCATGGGGGGACTCCCAAGGTCTCATGATGTCATCTCAGGTCTTGGAAAAAGACCCCACCTGCCTACTGAGGAGAAGGATGTTTGAAGACTCTCAGGGTCTCTTTCTAGAGGCCAGGCTGCTGCTGTGCCAGTTTCTGGGGCAGTGGACCAGCCTGGCTTCCCAGCAGTGAGAGGCCTGGACCTCTCTATAGAGAAGGCCAGGGGTCAGGTCCTTATCCTGGCTGTGCCCAGCTTGTGGTACAGAGCGTGAGGCATCCCGGCCGGTTGAGGACCACACTGCCATCTGGGGCTTCCGCTTCCCAGGCTAAACTAATATTTACCTTAAGCTGTGGCTGCCAGGGGCTGAGAGGCAAATATTAGCTTAAGGGGCCCAAGCCAAGCCCTCGGGATGAAGAGATGAGAATGCTGATCGTGGTGTCTTTCCCTTTGATGGTTTTCGTTTCTTCTTAGTTATTTAAAAAAAAAATCTTGCTGTTCCTTCTGCTTCAGACTCTTCCAGTGCTGCTTTTTCACTCACCTCAAATTCTGCTGATTATATCAAGGCCCCATACCAAACCCTCCCCTCTGCTAGGAAGCTTCCCCTGACCTACTCTGTTCTTCATGACTCTTCCTCTTCCTGAAGCGAGTGGAGGTCTACGCCGTAACAGGAGTTCTGTATCATGTATTTGTCCTGCTCTTTAAGAATACGGTAGAGATCTTCTTTGATTGCTTTCTAAAGAAAGGTATTATTGTGCCTATTTTGCAGGTAAGGAAACCAAGGCTCGGAGAGGTCTGACAGCTTGTCCATGGTCACATTGCTTCGTAGAGCTGGGACTTGAGCTCAGAAGTGTGGGCTACATTACTCCCCAGCCTCTGTAAACAGGAATCTCTCTGGTCTCCCTGTGATGTCTAGATACCCACCAAGGGTGGGGATTTTGGCCCCCTATGTCTTCCAGAATAGAGCGGGGATCAGCCACGTGTGTTGGACACAGATAGGCCACCAAGGGCCCTGGCAGAGACCAAGAGGGGTGGTGGGCACCCAGTGTTCTGTTTAGTGGGGAAGGTGCGTCTGCCTGCCTTGTAGTTCCTCGGAGTCTTTTGAAGGCTTTGTTTG